ACTGGCAAAGAGCCTCAAGCAGAGCTAGTGCCCTCCAGCTCTGCTTCTGGCGTTTCCTCACCAGCCTTTCATGCTTCCTCTTCCATGTGAACTTGAGCATCAGCTTGTCTAAGGAAGTTTGTTGGTATTTTTATTGGGATCATGTCAGATGCAGAAATTAATTTAGGGAAGACTGACATCTTTATAATGTTGTCTTTCCAAGAAAAACTCTTTGTCCAGTCAGTTAAGTTTACTTTTGTCTTTCATAAGAATGTTATTTTTTTTTATTATTGTGATTTGGATAAAAGTTTACAGCGCAAATTCATTTTCCATACAGTAGCTCACATATACTTTGTCTCATGACATTGACTGTAGTGTCCCACAATACAACAGCTCCCCTCCCACTTCCTCCCCATAGTTACCTCTTTCCTGTGTCCTTCCCTCCATACACTCATGCCCCCTGAGCTGTCTCCCTGTGTATACACGACCCTTCTATTCTCCCATGATTGGTCTCTCCAAGGAGTGTATCTACCTCACATAAATGTTCAGCTCATATGCCTATTGTTTGTCAGGCCCAACTCTTGAAGACTCTTGACCAGCCCCGGAAGCTCTGGCCCTTGAACTGAATGAAGCCAGTTTTTCTGAAATCAAAGTGACACAACTTTGACCACTTGTCTTTCTCCAGTGAATGTCATCTTCAAAGTTGTGACATTGTCATGGCTTTCCTCTGCGGGTCCCAGGATGGGACACGTCGGATTTCAATTGTAGCAGTCAGTAATCAGAACACAGGACTGGTGGGGTCCGCCCTGGATGGTTACATGCACATGGGCGACAGGCCATGAGCGCTCGGTGGGAGAGGTCTGGGCTCCGAACACAGTGGGGGCACTAGAGGATTTAAGGCCACGTAGCAGATGGAATTGCAGAGACGGGGACACGACGAGAGGGGCAGAAGGAGGCGACAACTAGTGCTTCGGAGGAAACTTCCAAGACTCACCCTCAGCTGTCTGAACGGGGTGTGCAGCATGCGTGGAGTGGCGGGACGTGGCTTTGCCTCCAGACACCAAAGCCCGCCTGGCCGTTGTTTTACGTGAACAGGTGAGGCGGCAGGAGGACTGCCCGAGCTGGGGGCAGGCCAGGGATCACGGGCACCAGCGAGTTCTCACGGCGCCGCGTGGTGTGTCCGCCAGACCCGGGACTTCGCGAGATGGAGACTTTGCGTTTTCCCAGAACGCAGCTCTTGTGCGCGCATCACTGTGGAAACTGACTTTCCAATGGCGCTTGGCCTGCAGGGAGGCGTAGTGCAAAACCGGGAAACAGGAGTGCCTCGCACCCCCTTAGGACTGGGCTGTCTTACCACGCCCCTTACCCCAGCCCTTAGCAGCAGCCAAAGCAGACTTACAGTCGCTTTACCGTCAGTGTGGCATCATAAGGAAACTGCCGTAAACGAAACAAAACCCTGCTTATCAGTCTGCTCTTGTTGTTTTTATATAAAGGTATGTTTTTGCAGCGTTGTACAAGAGAACTCTAACTTTTGTACTCTACGGGGACCTTCCAAGGTAGCTCAGCAGTGCGTGCAGCGCTCAGCACCGCTCCCCAAAACACCTTCTGACAGGGCGTGGCCCCCGGGCCCGGCCCGCCCTCCGCTTCGCTTTCTACAGCATCTATTGGACACACTGTGATGTTAAGTCTTCGTCACTTCCGCAGACACACGTTCATCTGGGGAGCGCTCAGCTCCGACCCAAACGCTAATTCCCAGCTCGGCGCCGCCACTCCGCGGAGCTCCCGAGTCCGTGGAAGACGTGCGGCCGCCCACCGCTTCCGGAAGTCAGCCGGAACCTGTCCCCGGACTGTGGTGGTGGGCTCTCGGCGGAAGGGCGCTTGGTAGCGTCACGAGAAAGAACCGGAAATACGCCCACTCTCCGAACGGCACGCGTTGCAGCGCAGCGGTGCGCCTCCTCCCTGGGCCCACAGTGCCCGGCGCGGCCCTCCCCGGCTACCAGAACGGCCTTCTGGTGACACCTTGTGACAGCGTCTGGTACTGCAGCCCGCGCGCCGGAGCACCGAGCAGCTCGGCTCAGCTGACCGCGGGCTCCCGGTAGGGCCAGGAGCCACTTCACGTGGCCCTCCTAGGATGGACTCAGAAGGGCTGCCAACCTGCCCCCGCCAAAGCCAGCCACTGGGAGCGCTGCTCCACTCTGTCACACACGGGCAGCTACTGGCTGGGCTTCTGGGTTGAAAGCATCTTCGGGTCCACTCCCCGCCTGCCACTCTATAGGAACTACACCCAACACATGGACATGGCCAGGGCCTCACCTAATTCCAAGCTTTTCACCTCCCAAGCCCTTTCTACCACCTACCGCTCAGCACTCCCAGTAAAGCACCCCAACAGCTCAGGAAATGACCCCCGACCCTGGACACATGCAAAGGTCATGCTAAGCTGGGTGTCCGGAAATCGATGGGCAGGAAATCGGGATGACTTTTTGGATGAAGCGTGGCACCTTCTATCAAAATTAAAGTATGGATGTTCTCTTCTGTGCAGTGAGCAACAGCAGCAGAGAGGCAGAAAGAATACGGCCAATCTGCTGTACGCGTGCAGCCAAGGATGAGAACTACTCCCGCTGGCGGGGAATGATGACAAAGTAAGGGAAAAGCAGCAAGGAATGGTGGTGGTGGTGGTTGGTATGTGCCCTCGAGTCGGACCCTACTCATATAGCGACCCTTCCTTGGGTTTCCGAGGCAGTATCTCTGGTAGCATAGTGGCTAAAGCACTTGACTGCTAACCAGAAGGCTGGCGGTTCAAACCCACCAGCCACTCCTCGGAAGGAAGGTTGGGCAATCCTACTTCCGTAGTGATACTGCCTTGGAAACCCAAGGAGGGGTCGCTATGAGTCAGGGCTGACTCGACGGCACATAACAACATCACTACAGAGTAGGTTGCCCCATCTGCCTTCCGAGGAGTGGCTGGTGGGTTTGAACCGCCATTCTTCTGGTTAGCAGTCAGGTGCCTTAGGCACTACACTACCAGAGCTCCTAATTTATAAACATAGGTCCTTATAAGCCATTCTGACCCACAGCGTTCCTAGCGGACAGAGGGGAACTGCCCCACAGGGTCTCCAAGGCTGTCAATCTCAGGTGTGAGAGGGAAAGGCCGGATCAGAGCCTCACTCCCCAGCACTCCAGAACAAAGCCACTATTTAGTGTCCGGTGGCACAGTGGTTAAAACATTGGGCTGCTAACCAAAAGGTCAGAGGTCTGAACCCACCACCAGCCACTCCAAAGAAGAAAGATGAGGCCGTCCGCTTTGGTAAAGACTGACAGCCTTGGAAACCCAGTGGGGCAGTTCTGCTCTGTCCTCTCGGGTCATTGTAAGTTGGAATCGACTCCATAGCAGTGGGTTTGGGTTTAGGTCTAGTAGCCACAGTAATAGACGGGGAAAAAAAAGGTGAGATTCACTTTATTACTATAGTATCTAAAATATTATCATGTAACAATATTTTTTAATGAAATATTTTAATTCTTATGGCATTATGTCTCCTACATACAGTGTGCTGTAAACCTCAATCTGGATTCTTAATTTTCATCAGAAACTCGGTCTGTGTTAAGATTTCATAAAATTACTACTGAAACAAGACTAGCACACTCATGTTCCATTCTTGGCACCTTTCTACCACCTGGATCACATGCTGCTTTTACAATTTTTATTTAAATAAAGTTTAGAATGCAGCTCCTCGGTTGCATGAGGGTTGCATGGGCTCCATGCATGTGTGGCCAGCAGCCATCACACTGGGCCACACAGCACACAAGCCACTGTCCAGTGTGGTCCCTGTGTCAGCAGCGTCAGCTTCACCTGGGACTTGTGCAGATCCTCAGAACCCCCAGACCTACAAGATCAGAGCTCCGGGCTGGGCCCCAGTGATTCTGATGCCCATGCGAGGTTGGGAACCACTGGTCTAGGACAGCACTAGGCAAGACACAGGGTAGAGACAGTATTAAGAGCCTAGTGACAGAATGGGATGGAGCTGCCACAGTTCCATGCAGATACGAAGCCAGAAAAAAGCGGTTGTGTTTGTTGGTCCAGGTACAGTACTGTCCCAGGGAGATGTCTGGAAGGTATGGCAGGACCACTTAGGCTCACTGCACCCCAACAGCTGGGGAAACGGAGACCCTCTTGGATGTGGGTGGCACCTGTCAGTATAAATCCAACACCACCATGTGTGCTGTCAGGGCTCATGGAACCTGCTCATTGCTGCGTGAAGTCAAGCCAGGCCAGAAGCAGTGCCAGGGTACCACATGTGTCCTGTTTCCGACTCAGGTGACGGGATGTGGAGTGCCACCTGTGTGGCCCTCCCCCCACATAACCCACAGTCAAGACCCTCCCTGCCATAGCAGCTTCTGGTGTGGAGACAGCCCGGGCCTCATCTTCAGCAGCTGGCGTTTGGTGGTGTTTCTCCTGGAGCTGAGGTTCTGGCCGGGACCAAGCGACACTGGTGCTGGCTGACAATGGTGCCGTGGCAGACACACACCTCTTCTCCTTTCAAAAGAAACTCCAGGCCCTCAGTCCCAGGACACATTCTCTCCAGCGGTGTGTCCATGGGCCACCTCCAGACCAGGTCTAATGAGCAGCCATGTCTCTCACTGTCCCTTCCTGGGCTCAGCTGGCCACAGCCACTATGGAACCACATGCTGAAGACAGAGCCCCAACCAGGCAGGGTCCCTGACCCACGACACATGACCTGGACATCCTCCTGCCGGGCAGACCCTTGTTCTTTGAGCTGCTTTGTTTATTTTTATGTTATTGTTTTGGGAAGGTGGTGTCATTTCAGGTTAGCCCACCTTAGACTATCACTCCACACCCTTTGGCTCATCCATACAAACTCTTTTGCCAGGTTTTCTTGGAATGGTTTTTGTAGAATCCCGACGGTTTGCCGTGGGAAGTAGGAAAGCACTACAGCGTGAAAGTGGCCCAGAGTTACAGCCGCCTACGAGGAGGTGACACGCGTGAGGATCAGGTACCAGCAGCGTCATCGCCTTACTTTCCACCTGGAAGAGAACACAAGCTTCACCGGTTCCGCAGGCTGGCTCAAGTCACGCAGCCGACCGTTCAGAAAGCAGCTATGAGATGCTCCCGCCAGCCGAGCTCATGCAGGAGTGAAACGCATCAGGTGTTTGGGGCTCCCGATGGTAACTTCCTCACGACGAGGTCACACACCACCAGCACATGCATGGTCAGCAACGCGTCACACTCCAAGGACTTGGCAACTTACTAAGAGCAGAGAACTGCTAACCCCTGTGCCCACTGCAATACCTGAGTCGCTGCGCCAGCCAGCCGGGGGAGAGTGTATTCAGCGCCCCTGAGGGCTTGGGCGCAGGAGCTCCTGGAACTGAACACCTGTGGGAATGCCAGGTGAGTACCATCCGTTCCCCCTGCACCTGCCCACCAACAAAGCCAGTCACTGATTCCACAGCTGGGTCCCCTGGTACCGGCTCGGGAAGGGACAACACCAGGGGCAATGAAACACCATTAAAAAGTTTAGCTTCTGGTTTTACCCGGCGGCACGTGCAAGGCAGTCCGTTAATATGACAAAGGCACTCTTGGTCAGTAACCCTAGATGCCACTCCACCCCCTGGTGCCCAACTGTCAGCCAAATGACAGACAGACCTGTGGGGTGAACATTTCCACCAGGGAGGTATGCCCACCCCTAAAACAGTCAACCACGTGAAATGAAAGGACAGCACATGCCCGGGGACAGGAGAGGAGGAGGAAGGAAAAGGGGGACAGGGAGGAAGTGGAGACAGCTGCTTCCTTGTAGGGATCAAAACCAATGTCAAGAAACAGACTGTGGATGACTTCCTTAACAGAAAGCCCATTTCCTCTGTCAGCCTTCACCCAAATCATAGCCAAGCCACCACGGTCATCCCTCTGGACTCCCACCGTCACTGGGCCACTTGCCAGCATCACCTGAATCCTCATTCAGTCTTCAGCCCACCAGGCCTCCTGAGCCACTTCCTTTCTAAGTATACCCTGCCCTCCCACTACCCAGCTAGGCAGAGGGATCACAGGGCAATGCTGTCTGCAAACTTGAGTGTGCTTATCCAGCCCCGAGCCCGTACCTGGCCAGAAGCCTGGATGTCTTACACAGTGCCCATCCAGCCCTGAGATGTCCCTCATCAGGAGCTCGGTGGGGGTGACACTCGGAGCTGCTCCCCCGCCCGCCCCGGGGTGGAAGCGATCTCCGTACACCTTAAGTCAGCCCTAGGCATCACGTTCTCACCCGGCTCTGCTGGGGGGGTGGCCTCCCCGCTGGCAGCCGTGGTCCAGAGGGTGTCTGTGCCGGAGGCAGAAGCTGCCGTGACACTCGTCACAGGCCACCTGTAGCATCTCTTTTCTCTTGCATCCTTCCTTTGAGCACCGGTATGTAAAAATCTGTGAAAACAAACGTTACACGCGCTCACTACCACATTGGTTTCGTTTCAGCGAGAAGGCTGAGCTGCATGGGATGCAGGTGAGTAGGAGTCACTCCACGTGCGAGTGTCAGGCAGTGATGAGCACTAGCTAGGGACGAATGCTGAGAAGTGACCAATGTGAAGGCAATGTATTAAGCTGGGGCCCTGGAAGCAGATCCTGAGAAAATGCTGGCAGGACCTAGGAGGGAGCCGGGCCAACAGCAGTGAGCTAGCACACGCAGACCCACAAAGGGCAGTGGGGCGGGCACACGCCTATATCCCACCCTCCCCAGTCAGGGTGGGGGTGCCCAGGAAGATCTGGCTCTCTGTGAAGCAAGAGAGGCTCCCGGACAAAGACAGAAGGGTGCTGCCTGCTGTGAGTGACCACCCAGCAGAAGCCAGGGTCCCAGAAAGCAGTGTGGGGATACAAGGGACATGGCAAGCACCGGGGCGCTGACGTCATCTGCATGGAGTGGGGAGCAGAGAGCGGGGACTCGTGCTGGAGGGGAGGTGGAGGAGAGGAAGCAGGGCTGCGAAGGCAGCTTGGAGGACGGCTGCTTGGACAGGGTTCTGGGTGGGGACCAAGGGCCCTCGAGTCCCTCCCTCCCGCTGAAGCCCCACAGCAGGCCTTCCTGGGTCCTGGTGAAGGGTCCACGGCTGGCAGCCGACTGATGCTCATTCCGAACAAGAAGAGCCCTTAAAAAGCCAACAACGCCCATGTGCGAGTTTGGGGGTGTGGATGGGGTACAGCTCCCCCAGAGCCTGAGGTCAACAGGGAGGCTCTGGGGGGGGCAACTGTGGAGCAGCCCGAGAGGCCTAGAGACCTGCGGTCCACAGGGACAGAACCAACCACCACATGCAACCAACAGCAACATGTAACACTGGTCCCAGCTCAGGCTCCTTGGATGCCTAGTGAAGGTGAAGACCTGACCCATGAACCGGCCCTGCTCCCTCCAGATCCTACAGACGTGGCAGAGAGCGAGCGTCTGCAAGGCAGGGGCGCCCAGGGTGAAGAATGGAGAGAGCCCAAGGAGCGGCATGAGGACGGGCAGTGATTCTGGGTGACGGGAGAGACCGGAGTGTGACTGTGGGCAGGCTCGGGGGCTGGGAGGGTCAGCAATTCAAGGAAGGGGGCCCATGGCAGGAGAGAAGTTGAGCGAGTCACGCAGAAGCTCCAGGGCCCAGGGAGGCCCAGTGCAGGCAGTGGGCAGGAGAACAGTGCTAGAGACAGGAGGGGACAGGGAAGGTGGGGAGACCTGGGCATGATTCTGTCGTGGGGCATGAGCTCTGGCCTCGGCTGACACTGTAGTCACTGTGAGAGTCTGAAGGCCAAGGGTGGACAAGACAAGCTCGAGACAGAATGCATCTCAGACCCCAAAAGACAACCAAGCAAAACCACGAGGAGCTGGAGGTGGTCGCCTGCAGGCACAGGCGTCCATGCTGTCCCTCACATGCTTGACTCTAAACCATCGGACGTCCAACTCAGACACAAACCCTGATGCTCTCCATGTCGGAGACCGAGTGCACCAAGCCCAGGCCTTCTGGCCTCTCCCAGGAGGAGCTCAGCAAGCAAACACATGCTGACAGGACAGCGCTGGAGAACTGGGCTGGGCCCTCATGTGACAGAAAACAGGTCGCTTCCTCCACACGAAGCAGAGCCCCATCCAGGTCCCTGATGCTGGGACGGGCTGTGCAGCTCCCAGCACAGGAGGACCTCCGTGTGTCACGTAGAGGACACTGGTCTGTGTCTCCGAGGCAGAGTTGTGCGACCTTGCGCTCACCTTCTCGCGACTCCTCCCAGCGTTGTGTCTGCAGTCCTGGTCCATGTGTTCTCCCACCACCACATCAGGCAGCTCCCCCTTCTTCACCGGGACAGGGCTGTTACAGAGCGGACACACTGGGACCTGGATGTCCTACACACACACAATGCAAGGCAGTGTTCCAGAGTCAGGGGGTGAAGCGCCACCGCCAGGAAAGGGCTGTGCTGTTCGCAGGGCACCGCTCTGACAGCCATGAGAAAGGGCACTGAGCTGCCCCAGGTTAAACCGAGTGGAGGTGCAACGGCAGTCAAGAAACCACAGCAGGAACCCGAAGACGGCCAGTCAACAGGCCTGGTGAAGACAGGGTCCGCTCAGGAAAATGGCGTCCTCCCATACCACCCCAGGGAGACAACAGGAACACACCAGCCTGAGATCAGCCAGCCCCCCACCATTGCCAGTGGCCTTTCCGGTCCTTATGCAAATTTCCAGTGTGGCTAACACCTGGTGAAAACTCGCTGGTGGGGCCTTCAGGGAGCGAGGCAGCTGCACTGGCCACTCCCGGGCCGACCCCAATCCCAGGCTCGGGGCCTCAGAGTGTCAACCTGTAGCTGAGGGCCACCAAAAAAACCCACTGCCATCGAGTCGATTCTGCCTCACGGGAACCCCCACTGGGTTTCTGAGTCTGTACATCTCTACGGAGATAGATCTTCCTCCTGCAGAGCAGCTAATGGGTTTGAACCACTGGCCTTCTGGTTAGCAGCCAAATGCCTTACGCACGGTGCCACCTGAACTCCTTTTGCAGCCCAGGCCAGGGACTAGGAAATGCTGATGATGGAGATGAGGAGCAGCCACCATGGTGCAAGTCCAGCACCTAGTTGTGGGGCAGGGAGGGCCACCAGGGGGCGCCCCTCCACTGGCCAACCCGCTAATGAATCAGTCCTGAGGCAGGGAGGAGAGGGCCACCAGGGGACACCCCTCCGCTGGCCAGTCGGCTGATGAAGAATCAGCCACTTTTTGTGTTCCTCAATTAGCTCTTGCTAAGGACATGGGTGATATAGTCTCCAGGCAAACTGGGTAACTGGCACCACATGCCCCACACCCCCAACCGTGGCTAGAAAAAGTTGAGTACCACAGGCTGGCCAGCACAAACCAAAGGGCTGCACGGGAAGGTGCCAAGGATTGAACCCATCTGGGGGCTGTCAGAGAGACAAGGCAGACAGGCCAGGCCACTGGAAGGTCAGGAACAAAGCCTGAGACCTTTGCACTTAGTGGGTTTGCCTTCTTAGGGCTGGTTACCAGTGTCCAGTACATTCCATCTGAATCATCGGACGATGAGTCAGGGCTGCAGAGCCAGCAGGGTGAGTAAGCAGGTCCGAGTCCACGGCAAGGGCTAGGCCATTCCCTGAACCCAGGGAGAGTGCTGTGCTTGGCCTGGGAGCAGTGAATCCAAGAAACCAAGTCTTAACGTGTAAAGAAGAGCAGAGAAGGTCAGGTGACACAGACTGACTGCAGGAGTTCCTACAGCCCACAGGAAATGAAAGCCTTAGTCGCTGTGGAACCATGCTGGCCGACAGCACTTCCTGTGAGGATGGAACGTTCTAGGCCTAGGCTGCCCAGGAGGGCGGTCACTGTCCACACGTGGCCACCTGACACCTGAAGCCAGTCACCACAAAACTGAACGTTTCATTTGACATCCTTATCATCAGTTTAAACAGCCCCCACAGCTGTGTCTATGCTACTGGACAGCACAGTGCTTGAGAGTGAAGACCAGCATCTTCTGAACGGAGTGAAAGGACTTACCTTTCTGAATGCAAAGGGACATCTGTGTGCAGCCAACGTAAAGTGGTCCTTACAGAAATCCTGTTTGCACGCATCACACGTAAGTGGAAGAAAATCTGAACAATAACGAGGGGAAGAAAACAAAACAGACAAAGGTTTAAAAACTAGGACAAGAGGACTGCAGGTCACATCAAGAGGGGGCCCCCAGATTCGGAGCTTCCCAAGTGTCAGGTGGACACATCCTGGAGGCACCAAAGGTGAGAGGAGAAGCACTCAGGGTCATGAATTTCACAACACAAACACCACACATGCATTGTGCTTTAGCTATTGTTTTGAAACGTGTCTCACCCCACGTGGAATTGCACCTATTTCAGGGGCATGCTGCTGTCCCTTCAGCCCTGCCCGGTGGCCCAGCACCTGGCGTTAGGTGGGTGCTCACTGCGTTACTGAGCAGAGCCTGGGCCTTGTGCCAGGTGCCCGGTCCCGGAAGGCAGGGAGGCGGACATAGCACACCATCAGTGGGGCAGCTGCCCCCGCACCACACACAATGGCCAACACCGCCCTTGTTTCCCACTGAGCTCCCTCAGAGCTGCTCACCCAGCTGCTTGCACGTGTTTTCCGAACAGTGCTTTCCTAAATCAGGGAACTCCATTGGAGAGAGGTGTTCAAGACGTGGCTAGCAGAGTTCAATGTCACCTGCAAGAACGAGCACAGCGGGAGGAAAGCAATGACTGTGGATCTCAGCCACTGGGACTTACACGTCCCCGCAAACGCATAAACAAGCACTCCCCGGGGCTTCGACCACGAGACGTCCTGGAAGCACCACCCATCCTGCCGCCTTTCAGCAAAGAGGAAAACACATCCTGTAGCACAAGTCCCAGCTTCACGGCCACTCGGAGGCAACTCCCTGAGACAGACAGTTTCTCGGTCCATTTAATTCTCTGTGTGTAGCTCAGGACAGGTTGGGTCTTCAGGAGACCCCATTCACCTTGTGCTGGCTGGGGCTTCCTGCGTTCTAGCTACACAGCTGCCACAGGGAACTTAAACGCACCATCCCCCATTAGAGGTGCTTGTTCATATCTACAACAGGGCCTGTTACCAGGCACCCAATCACAGCAAGGGACCGCACTGCCCACAGAGATTTCCCCATCACTGCTTTAACTCCCACAGGCGCTCAGCTTTACTTGCCTTCACTGCTCCCATGCAACAGTGACAGTAACCTACAGCTGGTCAGGGAGGCCAACCTAAACCACACCCACTGCCGTGGAGTTGATTCCCACTCACAGCGCCCCTAGAGGACAGAGTGGAACTGCCCCACAGGGTTTCCAAGGCTGCCAATCTTCATGGAAGCAAAGCCCAAACCACATCCACTACTGTGGAGTCAATTCTGACCCACAGCGCCCCTAGAGGACAGAGTGGAACTGCCCCACAGGGTCTCCAAGGCTGTCAGTCTTCATGGAAGCAAAGCCCAAACCACACCCACTGCCGTGGAGTCCATTCTGACCCACAGCGTCCCTAGAGGACAGAGTGGAACTGCCCACAGGGTCTCCAAGGCTGTCAATCTTCACGGAAGCACACCTTTCTCCCATCCACTAGTTGGTGGGTTCAAGCCACAGACCTTTCTATTAGCAGTTGAGCTCTTTAACCATGGTACCACCACGGCTCCCTCAGGGAGACCAGCAAGCAGTTAACTCATCATGAAAAACAGGTAGCCTACTGGTGAATTACTGGACTTAACTCCGAGGCCCTCCATTACCTGGTGCTCACCAAACCTCTCCAAACTCTTCCTCCTCCCAGAATTTAAGTCCAAGGGCCTTTTGGGAACCTTCCCATCAGCTCCCCCCTCTGCTGGGAGCCCTCCGCCACCACGCTCTTCCCGCAGCCAGCATCCACTCCTCCCCGCTCACGTCTCCGTTTAGGACCTTTCTGAGCCCTCTCCGCCACCCCTGTAGGTCACACATCTTCTGCCCTCCAAGGAGCCTGCCGTTGTTTCCCGCGCCTACTCCCAGCTTGCAGCTACATGACTTCACTCAGAGCTTCGGGGAGGGCAGGGACCAGGTCGGTTCTGCCCACCGCTGAACCAGAAAGGCACAGCGCACGGCCCGACAGAGCAGACGTCCTGGAACCCTGTGTTCAAGGGACTGACCAGCATCTGATGTCAACCCCGAAGTGCCTTTGTCCTCGACAGCCAGCGGATCCCTTTGCCGTGACATGAATGCCCCATACGTAGGAGGCCGGGACCCGAGAGAAGAGCAAGGATGCATGTCGTTGGGCTTAAGAGGCTCACGATCGCCGTTAACACCTGAATCTGCTTTAAGACGCCTTCAACATGCCCTCGGCTCTTCCCCGGTCCCGGCCCAGCCCCGTACCTGGCTGGCGGCGCAGCACGGACAGCTGGGAAGGCGAGCGGAAGGCAGAGACGGAAAACCGAGTTTCCCTTGTCCGTGCCAGTCCCTGTGAGCCAGGCAAAAAGGAGGAGGGAGACGGCAGACAGGACCCGGTAGCCGGGCGGAGGCCAAGGCGCGGCCGAACCCACAGGAAGGTGCAGCATCTCGTAGGTAGCAGTGTCCGTCCATTTATTCCCAAACTGTCTCGTCAGCGCGCCGCCGCGGCCGTGTCATTCCCGGCGCATTCCGATGACGCGTCGGGCAGCCGGCCAATCCCGTCCCGCAGCGGCCCGACGCTCCGCCCCGTTCCTGGAACAATCCGGCGGCTTCTCGGAGCCCTCGCTCGGGGTCCGCCAGCGCGGTGGCGCCGAGTCACGGTGAGACGAGGCCTCCCGCGCCGTGGCGCCGAGTCACGGTGCGACGGGGCCGACCGCGACGTGGCGCTTAGTCACGGTGAGGCGACAATGTTCGGGCGCGGGAAAGCTGAGTCGGGCAGGCGAGGCTGCCACACTGGCGGCCCCCACAACAGACGGGTGCACCCCAAGTTAGGCCGCGGCCCTGCGGCCTTGGAGGCGCCCCGGAGCGGCTACAGTAAGGTACGACGCCCGTCCAGGCCCAGGCCCGCGGCCTTGGCCCCTCGTGACGACAGCGCATCACCGCAACCCACGTGGAGCGCGGGTCGGTGGAGGGGTCGCCCGACGAATGTCGTGCGCCCCTGGACATGACGGGGACTGCGAGGGAACCTTGACCGGGTGATGGGCCGATGTTGCCCAGGAAGGCGCCCAAGGCCCAGGATGCACCGGAAGAGCAGAGGGCAGGTCCCGCGGTGGAAAGCTGGAGTGGCAGGACCTTGCATGCCCTGGGCAGTGCTTGGGGGCCTGTAGAAGAAAGCATCTATCTTGAAAAGCACTCATCCTGAGGTTATTTCACACTTGCACAGAAGTCACCAGAATGGCCCAGGACACTTTTGCACCCCGGCTCCCAGGTTCTGCAGTTAACATGTCACATTTGTATCCTCACACCCCCCTGGTCATAAACGCACAGAGACGTGCACATCCCTGTTGTGGTGGATGTGTGTCTGAACGGTTGGAAAGTGAGATGTAGACATGGTGCCTCGTCACCCCAGTCTCCAGTGTGCATTCCCCACAACGGCCGCTGTCCTGCATAACCACTGTCCAGAGGAGGTCAGAACATCAACATTGAGAGGACACAGGTTCAGTCCACAGCCCCTGTTTAGAGCACCACTGCCTCACCAATGTCCCCTTTCCCTTGTGCCCCAACAGTGAAGTGCTGGGCTGCTAACTTAAAGGCTGGGTTCAACACCACCCACCTCCCAGAAGCTTTGTGGAAGAAAGCTCTAGCAGTCTGCTTCATAAAGAGAAGAGCCCAGAAAGCCCCATGAGGCATTCTCTCACAGGGGCTTGCTAGGGCTCAGAATTGACTCATTGGCGCCCAACAAAAACAGTCCTGTCCAAGGTCACACCTCCACGCCGGAAGGCTCATTTTAAGCCTGACAGAGTGACAAAACTAACCATCCTCACATTAGAGTTCTACACACTTAGGCTCTAGATGTTTCCTGTCCTCAACAGCCTTTATTAAAAGGCACAGATCTTCCGTTCGGGGTCCCTTCCAATGATCCTCCAGAGCCAGGCTCAGGTGCTGTTCCCCTGGCAGGCAGACCACAACAGTGGTGCTCAGCTCTTCCTGACACAGAGCTTTCAAGCAGACACAGGATTCCAGCCATCCCACCACTGGTGATGTTCCTGTTGATCCCTGGCTCTGGGGCTGTCTGCCAGGTTTCTCCACCATAATAAAGCCACTGTTTTTTTATTTGTAAATCTATTAGTATTTTATAGGGAGACAGTCCCCGATTACACTATTAATAATCTTGTTCTTCATCAGACCTCCTCCCACCAATCTTAACCTCCAGGGATGACTTTACCTGAATCACTGTGGTCATTATCAATAGTAACTTTTTTTTTTACTTCCATTATTTATTCTGTGTATTAGCTAGCATTCTGTGAGGGAGAGATTTCCCTTCTCCATTTATCTTTTACTCATTCATTTATTTTTATCAGTCTGGACTCATGGATTTCTATTTTACTTACGAGTAGTGTTCTGTTCCTCTTATTTGTTTTGATGTTTGTGTTGTCTCTGATTTGGTCAGTGAGAGCCCCTGTGAGTTGACTCCTGAATCCTTTTGTTATCTCTTCACGATTCTCTGCATTTTTCCTTATTCTCCAGCACAAGGTGTCCCAGGCTTGTTTTATACTCTTCCTGCACTTCACATATAATCAGTCACTTCTTCAAATAGTCCTGGTTCCTTTGAGTAGAGGGTGGTATTTACAAACCAGGAGTTGGGGCCCTTGGTGCTTGCAAACAGGTCAGGGAGTCAGCACCTTCTGACCTCCTCTAACTTCACGAGAGAAAGGCAGAATCCCCAAGGCTACTCCTGAGAGGCCAGACAGGCCGCCACCCTCCAGCCTTTTACACTTCTGACACCAGCTGTCCTGCCTACGGCACTCACTGTTTCTGTGCTAGGTTTGATAATTCGTTGCAGTGGCCACACAGAACTCACAAACAGTACTCATGGTTATGGGGTTTATTAGAGAAGTATCAGAAACCAAACTCACTGCTGTCGAGTTGGATCCGACTCATAGTGACCCCTCCTAGGGTTTCTGAGGCAGTATCACTACGGAAGTAGATTGCCCAACCTTCCTTCCGAGGAGTGGCTGGTGGGTTTGAACCGCCAGCCTTTGGGTTAGCAGTCAAATGCCTTAGGCACTATGCCACCAGAGCTTACAATTCAGGTTCAGGAACGTACTCAGGATACAATTCTTTGACTAGGACAGTCTCCCTTCTGCTATGCCTTCAGGCTCACCTCTCTGGCCCTTGGCCTCTCAGCCTGGCCTGTGCTTGGTCAAGTGTTAAAAGCTCTTTTAGCTCTTCTGATAGGTACACCTACATGTACCCCACTCCTCTAGCAAGCATCCTGCCCAGAGGTACTCAGCTTTCTCACTCCCTGGGCCAGAAAGCCTGCTGCTCTGTCTCCTACCTCTTGGTTCCTCTGCTGCTGTCTCTCAGCCAGGCGTCTCTTCAGCCAAGGAGGTCCAGCGCAGGGATCTCGGGTCCAAGGACGCAGCACTCCATCCACTTCACCTCTGGCTCTTCTTTCTTGCTGGCAGTGAGACTCCCCTTTTCTGCCTCTAGGAAGGCTCATTTTAAGCCTGACAGAGTGACAGAACTAACCATCCTCACGTTAGAATTCTACACACCTTGTTTGCATGGTCCCACCCAGTCATCTGGAGGGAGTCACAAAGGCTGTGGCTAGAAAAGCCACCCGGACAATTCACTGCAGCACAGTGCTTATAGCTGCAGGGGTGTGATGGCTTCTAGGCCCTCTAAGTGGACACAGGCTGAGAATACCTATGTGCTTGCACATCCACACAGTCAATGTGGATTCCCTGTGGGGGTCATCACCAACCGTGGATAACATTAAGAAGACTGGGAATTCCAGAATACTTCATTGTGCTCGTGCGGAACCTGTACATGGACCAGCAGGCAGTCACTCAGATTGAACAAGGACATACGGCATGGTTCAGAAACAGAGGGTGTACGATACGTCTGTATCTTTTCACTTTTTTTTTTTTTAATTCAATCTGTACGCAGAACAAATAATCTGAGAAGCTGGACTGTATGAACAGGAGCCCTGCATCAGGACTGGAGAAAAGCTCATCCCCAGCCTGCAATATGCAGATGATACAACCTTGCTTCCCAGAAATGAAGATGATTTGAGGTAATTATGATGAAGGTTAAAGACTGCAACTTGCAGTATGGATTATACCTGAACGTGAAGAAAACGAAAATCCTTACAGCTGGACCAGTGAGCAACATCATGACAAATGAAGAAGAAATTGAAGTTGTCAGTGATTTCATTTTACTTGAGTCAGAAATCAGCATCCATGGAAGCTGTTGTTGTTAGGTGCCGTAGAGTCACCTCTGACTCACAGCGACCCTATGCACAGCAGAACAAAACGCTGCCTGGTCCGGCCCCAGCTCTGTGATCCTTGCTGTACTTGAGCCCATCGCCGCAGCCACCGTGTCAATCCATCTTGTTGAGGGCCTTCCTCTCTTTCGTCAACTCTCCACCTTGCCAAGCATGACATCCTTCTCTAGGAAATGGTCCCTTCTGACAACATGACCAAAGTAGGTGTGACAAAGTCTGGCCATTTTCACTTCCAAGGAGCATTCCAGCTGCTCTTCCTCCAGGTCAGATCTGTTAGTTCTTTTAGCAGTCCATGGTACTCTCAGCCTCTCAGCATTCTTTGCCAGCACCACAACTCAAAAGCATCAATTCTTCTTCAGTCTTCCTTATTCATTGTCCAGCTCTCACATGCATATGAGGCAATTTAAAACATCATGGCTTGTGTCAGGTGCACCTTAGTCCTTAAGGAGACGTCTTTGTTCCTCAGCACTTGAAAGAGATCCTTTGCAGCCGACTTGCCCAGTGCTATACGTCATCTGATGTCCTAACTGCTGCTTCCATTGGCGTCAATTGTAGAACCAAGTAATGTGAAGTCTTTGACAACTTCAATCTTTTCTCCATGGAAGCAGAAGTCAAGAAATCAAATCTGTAGGAAAAGACCTCTTTAAAGCTTTGAAAAGCAAAGATGTCTTTTCAGTCCCCTCATATGCCTGTGAAAGCTGAACAATGAAAAAGGAAGACAAAGGAATTTTTGCATTTGAACTGTGGTGTTGGCAAAAAATATTGACTCTACTGTGGACGGCAGAAGACCAAACAAATCAATCTCAGAAGAAAAGCAACTGTATGTTTCTGAGAGGCAAGAATTGTGCTTCCTCGGCTCATTTACTTTGGACGTGTCATCAGGAAAGACCAATTTTCAGAAATGGACACCAAGTCTGATGAAGTAGAAGATCAGCAAACATGAGGGAAACCCTGTACGATGTGTATTAACCATGATAACCCAAACAGTGGGCTCAGCCACGCCAGCAACATGAAGATGGCACAGGACCGGGTAGCATTTCAGTCTGTTACACGTGGGATCACCTGGAGTCGGTGCCAACTCAGCGGCAGCTAGCAACGGTGTGCTCACGCACACGCATGTACACACATGCATAAACATGTCTGTTACACGTGGGATCGCCAGGAGTCGGCGCCAACTCAGCGGCAGCTAGCAACAGTGTGCACATGCATACATGCATGCACACACACATGTTACACGGGATTGTTATCCAAGAAATGTTAGGCGGGAAGGTTGAGCAGGGGCCATCAGAGGGCAGGCCCAAAGGGAGGAAAAAAGGAAAAGAGGTGGAATCTTTTCAAAAAGCTAATAAGCTAACACCTGCAGAACCTGTCAACCACCTGCATAGCCTGCCAATCCTAATTATGCAGAACAACCACAGGCTCAGGAAATTTGTTTCCTGAGGTTTCGGGAAAGTCCCTAACTTGGAACATGTGCTAAAGCCCCATGTTCTCACCCAGACCTACTTTCATATCATAATATCATCATAATATAATTAACACTGCGTTCTTTTTGCAGTTTTAGTCTTTTGCACACTGGGTGAGCACAGAAGG